ATGCGGATGGATACTTCAGTGATGAGATCCCCACTTTTTTCAGCCACGGAGCTAATGGACTTTGGGATTGATTTAGCTCGGGTATTTCGTGTAGCATACATGTTGTGTGAACGTGGAAGTGTCAATACTACACATGCTGAGATATGTGAGCAACACTCAACCCCTACACTGAATGATGAGGTGACTTGGCCGGCGGCAGCGGCAAGGATGGAGTCATTACCGACCCAACCAGCCATTGAGAGTGAGAGTTTTGTCCTTGAGGTGTGTATGGTGGACAACCGTAGTGGTTTATTTCGCTTGGTGAGTTCTACCGGACAAGAATCAAACCATAGAATATAATCAAGAGTATGTCAATTTGACTATTTGATAATTGTTTCTAGATATCCATATTTCCTGAAGTCAACTCCTGCATATGCAAAGCTTTGGATATAAGACAAGTGTCAGGCTTTCAAAAACAACGGTTTGCCAAGGAACTCAATCTTTCATATTGAGCAGCATCGTTTTAACGTTGTTGCTTGATGCAAAGTTGGGACAGATTTAAGAAACTGGGACGGATTTGACGCGAGGTGGGGATGATTCTTCATGTTTCTGTAGATTGTGAGTGAATGACTTAGCGTGACAGACGAGCCGAGAATGTGGTCGTCTACACGTGTTTCATAGCAACTAACCATTTGTAGAATTTGAGTACTAGAGGATGCAACCTGAAGGGTGAACTCTTCACGCGAAAGTGATAAAGTAGAGACCGTTATGACGCTGATCGTATGGTGTCAGCCCACAAGAATACGATCCGGGTTGTTCTAGCCTCTACTGCTGGTGGGGGGGAGGGGGTTGGAAGAACCCTGCAGGAGGATTGGCAGTGACTTGACTCGGGAATTACGGGATCGCCCGTAACTCGATGCTGCGGGGGGTGAACTTCCCGTGGTTTCTGCAACGGGTTCGGTGATCCGGGGCTCATGTTGGACGTTTGAGGAAAGGCTGGGTGGGGTGGCCATGACTCCGTCCTACGCGCTTTGATGCAGCTTTAGCTTTTGATTCTGTCTCCGCCGGATACCTCGACGTTCATGGCACGGCAAGTGGAGGGCACGCGACGCAGAGTCCATTGCCTTCGCCCGAAATTGAAGTCGAGAATGAGCGTCGATTGGAAGATTTGATGTCAGTTTCGTCCTCCGATCAAGCATGGCAGGCCGGCCTGCCTTCCTGCCGAAGCCATGCTTTGATTGAAAGAAAAGACTGGCATTGAATCATGATCGACAGCATAGAGACAAGCGGGGGCGAGGATCCTTCCGACTTCCGATGATCCACACTTGCTTTGGTCTCACGCTCTTCTGTCCATCTCTCCCTGACTCGTCGTCGTCCTGTCCCTCGACCATTATTTCCAGGCCGGTGATGGATACATGGATGATGGAATCGTCAGACCAATTGCGTGCTCTCGGGATTTCAGAGAGAGGAAGCTGGCCTCCGATGTTCAAAAACTGTAGAGCATGTTTTCAGAATTTTACAATTTCGTACCACACGTGAGTTTGCCTTCTCGCACGAGCTTCCTCCCGCTCTGTAAGCATTACACGCATGGCGAACCCGATCGATGCTTTCTCGATATCGATGGGATCGTCACCGATATCCCGTTCATGATGCATTTTGGAGTCTCCATTGCCCCTTCCCTTCGTTCCTATCAGAAATACCGACTAACGACGAGAGTTAGAGATATCACGCGCTGAGAGTAAAGGATACTGATCGTGCCATGCGTCGCATCCAAGAACGTCTCTTCTCGTAGGCAATGAGCCGACGAGGTCGATAAACTTTTCATGAGCAGTGTGTGGTTCACTTCCAGTACGTCGGAGTGACCATGGAAAGTTGAGTTACACTTTCAGCTCAACGAAGAACCAGACAATGCCCTTCTCGCGTAGTCATGTGCAAAGATCGGCTTGCCGACCAAAGACTCCGTTCGTCGGACCCTCCAAGATGAATCGCGTAGATTTGTCGGCTCTCCCTCGGTTATCGTCGCTGAAGAATTTGAAGTGACGTGCTCCACTTCTCGTTTACTTTTTCTGTATTTTGTCTGTTCGTTCTCATAGAAGCCTCTTCTTCTTTTCCTTCCCCTAATTAGACGACACTCATGCCCTCGTCCATGCGAGCATCTCAAGGAACTTTAATGCTGGCCTTCCATCTTCTCTCTCAGCTCCTACTTTCTCAATTTACCAGCGTCCAGTGCGCAGAGAAATCCCGGAGGATGAAAAAAGTCGATACAGACGTACGTTCTTCGTTATATGATGCATACAGGTTGTGGCCTTGGAAAAATGGTCTACATATACGTGAACTTTCAATGGTCTCACTGACGACGACCGAGCTGTCCACGGACGTATTACAATGCGAAGAAAGGTTAATGAATAGAAAAGGAGTCGATGCTGGTTCGAGATTCGAGAACTTGTGGTCATCATTCAAATTGATCAACAGAGCCGACCGTAGCTGTAGCTTTTCTCGCTGATTCGATTAGGCTCGTTAGTCTTTCATCCATCCTCATGCTTACTTTCATTCGTTTGTTGGAATTTCAACTTCTGGTCGAGACTCGAATTCCGATGGGATCCGAGCCGACTGGGCAATTGGATCAACTAGTCAGTCTTTTAAAGGCATTTTGTCTCCAGAGTTTACCGTCTCGAGTACGTCGTGCATGTCTACAGTTTGGATCCAATCGACTCGTCAATGCAAGGTCCAAACACGCTTTATAATACTGCTGCACAGAGCAGCCGCAGCATCAGGCCGTCACATGCAGTCTCGAGAAAGAAGATGCTGCCTGCCACATGGTACGGTACAGTCGAGAGCTTCAAGTACTGACCACGTTGCGTAGCAGCACTGGATGGATGGAAGTGGAGTACCGATTGTACGTATCTGTTGCTTGCTGAGATTTTCCTTCGTGTTCAGTGACCGAGACTCTGACAGTGACACACTCGATCGTGAATGGCTGGCTTGGACCGGAATTGATCTTAGCTAAGCTCGAGTCTCCAATCCCATCTGTCTATTTCTCGTGGCTGGGAAATCTTCCGGGTTTGATTTGACTACAGGTCGCAGCTGCTGCTGGTCCCGGTCCGATCAACTATCCCCATCGAACACTCCTCCTCCTGAGACTGTCTGCCTTCTCCTTCTCATGGAAAAAGTTGCGTCTCGAGAGGGTACGTGCTGCGATGTGACACGTTCTCAGATCCGAGCAAACAAAACAGAGCTCGAGAAAACGTTGAGGGAAGTGCATTGAGCGCTGTCATTGGTAGGAAACCAACCCCGAGTAGGACAATCTCGAGGACAGACAGGACTGCGGACAGTTGAACGCAATCTATTTACAGCAGATAGACAAACAAGTCGCATCACATCTAACACGACTGCAGTAGCATCGCAGCACTCCAACGATCTTTGGAGGCCAACAGGCGACGGCCACGAGTTCCTGTCGTAACTGTATCAGTTGGAAGCGGTTCACTTTGATCTCTTTGTCGAGCTTTCGATCTCAGTGTCGAGCTCGCTCGCCTTCATGCTTCATGGCTTTCCAAAATCTAGTCTATGATTGAGTGAGGGATTGATTGAGTGAGGAAGTGCGTGCGTGCAGCGGTGACACGGAGCTAAGCTCAGCTCAGCTCACGCAATCGGACTAAATTAAGCTAATACAAAAGCATGCACAAAGCTAACACCAATGAAAATGTCCCTCTCAGATTGCGGCGAGTCCGAGCTTTAGCACTACTAGCTTTACTACCACATGGGGCCAATTTACATCTACTCTGCAAAACCATCACCTGCTGCGATTTTCCTTTACATTCCCGCGTTGATTTGTTTGCAGATGCCCTGATAGGCCAGTTGCTCTCGATGTCGTTGCTCTTTGTGCTCGACGTGTCTCTCATCTTTGCCTCAGGCTCGGAGCAACTGGTTGGAAGATTTGTGATATAGTTCAAGAGCATCAGAGGAACGAAGGCATGCTCAGACACAGACATGGCTTCTGACAAGTTAATGGACCATGTACGGTAGCACTCGGTCTCGTAATTCGCTCGTTGGTTTTTACATATTTGAAAAGAGATGGAGAAATATCTCGTTGGTCCTTTTGGAGAAAAGCAGCTTCCCTTGTCAAGTATAACCTATAAAAAGTCGGTTTCATTGTTGGTCTACGGTCCCTTCCGTTCGTCAGCATGATCCTCGAAAGGAAGCACAGCTGTAAAATCAGCAGCGTGTGTACATACAACCAAAGAATGCTCCTTCCAAATGTACGCTATTCGTCGAGATTGAGCAGCTTCTGTAGTAGAGCATTAGGAGGCCGTGTGTAGGATGTGTCGGTGCCCTCAAAAGCAACAGGAAGCCATAATTTATGAATATTCCACAGGGACCGTGAATCATTTCCTGGGCTCAAGATGAGAAGTGCGACGGAACCTGTAGAGCTCATGATTGCTCTTGGGAAGTTAGTGCCATAATCTTCGACAGCTGATTGCTGAGGATGAAGAAGGAGATCAACAACGGTATATTTGCGTGACTGTGATTCGGTGAAAAGCTTTGCAATAATTTGTATATCTTGAAATTTTCTGAGCCTCATCCTCATTGTTGCTTTGCCTTTGAGCATATGGTCTCAGTTTCTTTTTTTAACTTTTGTCTATTTTGCTACCGCCTGAGGCTGTATTTAACATTGCACAAGTCATCACATCTTCCACCACTGCATGAAAGGAATAATCTGCTATATTAAAATATATAAAAGCAAACTTGTATTCATGTGGAAGTTGGCTGTGAGCAGAAAAAGAAAAAAAAAAAAAAAGGCGCTTTATACTTCCGGAAATACTTGCATCCGTTCATTTAATAGCGAATGTGTGTTGGTCTGGTTTCAATTGAATAAACGAGCGCTATGCTTTGAGGGGTTTCACATTCATAACGCTTTATATTTATCACCGAAACGGATGAACAGATCTAAAAATTAGAAAAGTTTAGGAATGTGGGGACAATGATATCTTGCTCAAAATTGATTCATGTATTTCATTTTCATCCTACGCTTGATGCAAACATCTGACGCCCAGCTCTCAATCAGAAGCTCAACCCTGTAGGGCTTACTCACGCAGTCCAGTAAGGTGCTTGACTTACTGGATGAGGAAGCCATCAGCTACCTTCAAGTAGACCTAGCACCTGTCACCATATCACTACGAACTCTAGCCAACAAGACCTTTAGTCTAAGGTTTCGAATAGGACGAAATTGGAGCAGACTTAGCGTCGCTCGGCGCTCTGTGAAGAATCGAGGATGTTGTTTCAAGATTGGATATAAAGTCAAAATACTGCTTTTCCAGCGGCTGGGGAATTAAGACAAGACTCTGCCTTCAACTGAAGCGAACCGACTTACCGTTATATGGATAATGAGATTTTGACCCGAAGTAATCGGTGAGGTTGCCCACATGTTCTTCCCCTTTTCCTTGTACTCAAGGACAAGCCCTTTTACGGTCTCTCTGGCAGGCAGGTACCTTCACTCGACTCAAACGGCGCCAGCAGTGTATCATGGATCTGACTATATACTAGCTCTCGATGATTGATTTGTTCTTTCAGAATTATCTTCCACCGTACTCTCAACTCTTTCTCTCCACAGGTGTTGACTCTGACCTTTACGTTTCTGGGGATTATATTTCATGGCAGATACTTGTTCTTCTCATTTGAATCTACCTTTCATCATATTTGCCAGTCTGAAAAGGGCAAATGGAACTTTGCGTCTGCTGGTTAAGTCTGGGATGCAGGTTATTTGAGAGAACTTTCGGATATTCTGAATATGATTTAGTCATACTTCAATCTGGGCCAAGTGTGTGCTTCGGCGGGTCAGACAAGTAAGGATAATAATTCAAACGAGCTGAGTCTACAGTCGCAGGGCACGGGCAGAGCAAACGGACTCAATATTGTTTAATGGGAATGGAGAGCATCGATCCATGAGACAGGCAGGCAGGCAGAGAGCAAGTTGAGATTGTGAGAGCACAGTTCGGTGGGCAGCAAACCATGTGAATATGGGACCAGAGGACGAGGTTTGGCACACGGGAATACATGTTTTGTTTTACTCTCAAATCGCACATCGCCAAAGACGCTCATCACTCCCGACAGGAAGGCAGAGTGAGCGTCGTCCAAAAATTGGATAGTAAAAGCTTCAAAGAAAAGCTCAAATTATAGCTCAAATCAAGCTTTGCAAGTAACGGCATCGTTGTAATGACTACCCCGTTTGGAACTCGTCGGATTGAGGGAGTGTAGATGTGATGCTGTGATTCATTAGGTGACTCTGAACCTGCACCTCAGAGTACTCAACTGTACTGTACAGTACTGTACCTTACTGTACAAAATCCAAATCTCCAAGCAATGGCAGCGGCAGCAGCAGCCGATGTGCTGCTGCTGCTGCAGCTGGTGCTGGTGCTGGTGCTGTTGCCTGATTGACTGCGTGGCCTGCGTGCGAGAGACTACCTCCTCTGTGACCAGTGGCATCAGAAATTGCTTCTAAGAACCGAAATACTATGGGCTGCCGATGCATGATGCAAGTTTAAGACATTGAATTGAAACTGTGGAGAAACGGTAGCAAAGGGGCTCCAATCTTAAGATGATAGACTGTGAAGGTTGAGACTTTTCGGGCATGATGATCTGCTCGATGAAAGAGCTGGTACTCCTTAGAAGCGATGCAACCGCAATGACCAAACCAGAGCAGATGCTGCTGCTGCTCTGGCCGAAAGTCGGTCGCTGGGTGGATGGATGCTTGCTGCCGACGAGAGCTCTCGTGGATGGTGGCTCATCCTTTGCTGCCACTGATCTTCGAGCAGACGACGTTTTCGTTGCTGTCGTTGTTGTTGTTGTCGCGGTAACACTTGATTCTTGTTGTTGCTGCTGCTGCTGCTGCTGTCAAACAAATGAACCATGAGCCAAGGCACAATGGATGAATGTCTGAAGGCCCGCCCAGAGCAAGACGAGCAAGCCGTCAACCTCAGTCACAAGGAACGACGTGAGGATTGACGATCGATCGATCGATTTCATTTGCCTAATCTCCAGCCAAACCGTAGCGCTTGCGAGAATCGCTCCCAGGGCAACGACGAGCAGGCAGATGCACATTCTGCTTCGCCGCACCTCGTGCTGTCTCTTCTCAGCCTCAAACACTTAATCTCGACACTTCTCCCGATCGAGCAATCAATTAATCGATCGACCGCAGTCGTATTCACATGCCTTCACATCCTGATCCCCACATGTGCCGGAGCGTGGGCAGAATCGTTCACAAATTCGCTTTTGACTGCGCGTTCGTTCCGTTGCGGTGTATCATCATGGAATCACAATCCTTGCAGGCGCCGGCAGCCCATTCGTAATTAGTAGCTCGCCCCAGGAGGCATCGATATTTACAGCCCAAATGCAAACCAATCCGTCGGCAGCTCAGCGCAGCGCAACGCAGACTGTACACCTCGCCTCCGCTCTGCTCTGCTCTGCACTTGACTGCACTGCGCCGGGCCTCGATCGATCAGCTCGTCTCGCGTCACTCGTCGTCGAGCATCCATCCGGCAATTGATTGATTGATTGATTGATTGATTGGTTGGGGGGAGGGAGGGTGGGCTCGGAAGAAGGCAGCAGAAGCCAGGGATTGGCGATTGAAAGGATTTACAAAGTTGGAGGTGGTGGAGTTGCGGTGGCGTGGTGAGACTGGGTATGTATAAACGACCATCGAGAGCTCCACTCGTCCGCCTCCGCCCCTCATCACATGGCGAGGGGCTTGACGAGCTCCATGGCCGTCGTCGATGATTTCTGCTGCTCCGAAACGATTGGTTTCATGGGCTCTTCGGGGATGCTCTCGAGCCACGGGCTCTGCTTCTTCGGGGACGGGGACGACCTGCCCGAGGCCTGGTTCAGCAATCGTGTGAGCTGCGCGCCGCTCAGCCGAGCGACTCCATTCTTGGTGGTGATTTTCACCGAGCCTTCCTGCAGAATCTTGGCGATCTGCTGCTTGGAGATGGTGGACTTCATGACGGGGCCGAGCTTCGTCGCGCCGTTCGCATTGTTGTGCAGCTGCTGCTGCTGTCGTGAGGGGACGGGGGCGGGGGCAGTCGTCGGGACGTTCACGGGGTGGACCTTGGGCGCCTTGTGGGGAATCGCCCTCTGCTGCATCTGCGCCTGCTGCTGCTGCAGAGTTGACGGCGCCTGCTGCTTCTGCTGCTGCTGCTGCTGGGTGGGGATGCGGAACAGCAGATAGACCTGGCCGCGCCGGAGCACGTCCTTGGGCGCCAGCATTCTGCGCCGCATCTTGCCGTTCTCCTGCACCTGGTCCTGGCACACGACGCTCTTGGGGTACACTGACAGCAGCTCCTCCACCGCCATGTCGTTGTCGAATTCCAGCACCTTCCCGTCGCGCACCACTCTCACCACCTCCTGCGGGCCTCCTGCGATGCTCGCGATGTTACCCATAGCTGCACGAAGACCAATTAATTACACTACTTCTTCTGCTGCTCCTCTCCTCGCAGCCTCGATGTCTCAATCCAGTCCAGTCCGATCCGATCGATCGATCAATCAATCGATCAGTCAATCCCACACGAGACCCACTCTGCAGCAGAGCGATGCCAATGTGTGGATAGATAGATAGATAGATGCTCGTCGCCGTTTCCGTGGCGAAGAAGCAAAAGTTGTCGATGCTGTAGTGTACAGGCGAGTGGGGACTCTCTCAATTCCACTCGATCGCTCGATTTTCCCCTCTGAGAACCACTCGGGGAATTTCACCAAAGGAAGGAAGATAGATAGATAGATAGTCGTAATCGTAACACTATATGACGTAGTCGTTCTGTTGCTGTTGTCGATGATGATGATAAAGATGATAAGAGTATGAAATCGAGTTCAATTTTTGGGCAGCGACAAAGGAGCACGACCGCCTTCTCTTCATACGATAAAGCAGAATTGGATATGGGACTGGGAAAGCAGAGCGGAGACTCAGAAGTGGGGAGGGGGACACGAACACGAAGGCCAGAAATGCGAAGAGGAAGAAGTAGTAGTAGAAGAAGAAGCCGAAGCTATGAGAACTTCGAAGGAATGATACCGACTGCTGCTGCTGCAGCTGCTGCTGATAACTGGAGACTGATTTTGCTTCTGCTTCTGCTTCTCATCGACTGACTATTATATCAAGCGCTGCTCTCGCTCACTTGCGCCGCAGCTTCTGGAAGATGGCGGGGAAGAATTCCACCCGAACACTCGGGCTCACGGATAGGGCGACGACGGTCGAGGCGGATATGTCTTCCTGTCTGTCGGACTTCCGTAGTACAGTACCGATCACACGGGGACCCGAGACGACGACGACGACGAGGTAGGAAGGGAGAAGAAGCAGGAGAAGGGAAGGGGGGGCGACTCGGAGGGGACAAGGACGGGGACGGGGAAATTGGGGGAGGAGGAGGAGGAGAAGTGTGTGCGACGAGAAGGGCTCTGCTCTCCTATTTCTATAGTCTAAACAAGATAAGAAGTAGATATGGTGGTAAAATTGGGATGGGGTGGGGAATCATCGGGGATAAAGAAGAACAAGGGAGGGCCCATGGGATACATGCTAGCAGCCCGAGGGGGGACGAACGGGGCAGATCGAGCCACTTTCGCTGCCTCTTCTACCAAAGGAGCTATGGTCTCTACTTCTACTCGTACCAGGACCCGAGGGGTCTCTCTCTCTCTCTACTACTCTACTTCTACCGCTAGCGCCGAGGAGGAGGAGGTCCAGAGCATGAAATGTTTCGGCCCTTTCGGGCTCTGCTGTGTTTTTTTCACTCTGCCTCTGCCTGCACGACGACGAGTCCAGTCCTACCAGCTGACGATGCGGGGCTCATAAATGCCCCACTCCCGCTGTCTGGGTCTATGTCTGCCTGTCAGTCGATCAAAGCCTGCAGAACAGGCTCCGAAAAGTAGGATCCACCAGCTGCGCTCCAATCACACGCACTCCCACTCCAAATCCTATAGTATTACTCACTCACTCTCTCTCACCAGAGCACAACCCTGACCCCCAACCCAAGCTCAGATACCCTCAGCTCAACTCAACTCAAATTCCAGTTTCAGTTCTAAGTGAAAGTTGCTAACAAGGTCTGCTAATATATTTTTGCCACGAGGTCTAATACCAGCTACGCTACGGCCAGAACTATCTCGACTAAACTCCGATGGTGACGACGGTGGTACTAGTACTCGTCTTCGTACTCGTCCTCGCCAGTCTCCGGTGAAATGGCCGTAGAGTAGTTGTCACTCACATTCGTCACTCCACTCCTCCTCACTTCCTCGCCTCCTCTCCGACCTCTTTTCTCTTGTTCTGTTTTTGTTTGGGTCCTCCCCGTCCTCACGTCCGTATTTTATACCCCTCTCGCTCCAACTGTACACTCTACGCTCCTCTTGTCTACTATTCACTTCCAGGTCGCTGTTTGTGTCCGCTCTATGCCCACACACCATCGTCATCATCAGCTGCCTTCGTCCCTCCCTCCTCTTCCTATTATTGTTAATAATGTGATTGATGCGAGCTTGTGATCATTTCTGATGATAAATAGGGGGAGAAGCGTACTATAGCACGCTAATGAGGGAACTGTAGGCAATTCTATGCAAATTGATTCTGGCTTGTGCTAGAGACAAGCTGATCAATCATGAAGCAAGGAAGGGAGAGGGCCTGTTGTGTTGTGGATGCGGAGGAGGATATTGTCATCGTTTTCATGTTCGTAATTACGCACGCGATGACCTTCATCGCTTGACTAGCATTATGCTGGTTTGTCTTAGTGGGATTTGTGGTGGGAGGGAGGGGCCCTCGAGGTGAGCAGCGTTGTATTGTGTTGTGTTTCAGCTGCTCGTGGTGGCGAAGTGGTCCCGTGTACGTATGCCAACAGTACATGTCCGCTTTCCTGTTGCAGTCTGCCATACCCCCCAGCCCCACCCTCTGTCCACGACAATGCCGCCCTGCTCTAAACCTTGCGTTCTTATATTCATATACTGTAATTATACTTCCAGCCCAGAGGACCAGGCCCCACATGCTTGTCCTAAACAGGAGTAGAACTCACCCGAACCCCTCCCCCTCTTCATGGAATCTGAGATCGCCTCCTTCCGCACCAAACTCCTCCTCCTTGCTCTGTCTAACTCCACTCCAGAGTCAGCGGAGGGGAATTACCCGTTTGCTATGAAATTCAACCCTGATAAGCTTCCCCGAGTTCTTCATTACCACGTTGCATTAGGCAGTCAGTAACTCTTTGCTATTTTTAATGAACCTTGGGTTCCACAGGGGCTCAGAGCTTCGGAAGTGGGGTCCTACTTCTCCACTTTTGTATATAAATTGATATACTCGAGATGCTGTATATACAGGGATGGAACAGGGGTATGAGGGGTGTGACTGGAGGAGGGGTCGAGGCAGAAGGGAAGCCATGGGTACGACAAACTGGGCCGTGGGTGGGGTAAGATTCATGTAGATGGTAACTGTGGAGGAGAGGTAGATTTACAGTACGTCTTCTTCTTCTTCTTCTTCTTTTCCTCTAACAATATTGCTGTGGCTGGGGACAGCAATGTTGTGGAGCCGAGGCAAGCCGGATAGGCCAAGACACATGTGCTGGTGTAAACTTGGGAGAACACGGAATTGTCGTTGCAGGTTTCCAATTTGCCGTGTGAGTGTGTATGTGTGAGTAAGTGAGTGTTCGATGTAAAGCACCAGTGGCTGGGGAAAGTGTGCAGCGAGGGGAAGAGGCTGATGAGGAGGAGGAAGAGGAAGAGGAAGAGGAGAAGGCTCCTCACTCTCGCCTCAGCCTCGCGTGCTTTATAGATAGATAGAGATAGAGAGATGATCAAGTCACCAGAGAGCGAGTGGCTGGATGGAACGATCGTCGGCTTGCTAAGAAGAAGTGTCAGAAGAGTTAAACCACAAGTGGCGCTGGTCACGCCAAAATGTGCACACGGCTTTGCAGTCAATTTTCTCCCCTGAGATCTCTCCCTCTCCCTCTCTCTCTCTCCATCAGACTCCATGTCTGAATTTCGGTTTGGGTCTATCTCCAGAGCTCGGGCAGCACCTGTTGCTGCAACTGCAACTGCACCGTCTCCCAAGTTGTAGCCGACGCCTCTGACTCCTCCCTTGCCCTACCACGGGCATGGAATCCATCCCCACCTCGGGACCTTCATCAGCATCATCATCCTCATCCACATCCACATCCAGTCCCCCTCCTTTTGGCTTATTACATGGCTCCCACTTTTCCACTTGTGCTCTGACTTCTCGATCCAGAATTCGGTCCATTTCCTAACCATTTCTTAACAGAATCTCAAATGTCATCTTTTGCTCCACAGTTTCTTCAGCCCAGTCATGCATCACCGCATCCATACTTGAACCGTAGTCACTTCCGTCCATTCAGAGCTCCAAAGTTGGATGGAGTTGGACGTAACTTGGAGTCCTGATGGGTCGACTTGCTAGTAAAGGCATCATTCGAGGTTGGGTTGGTTTGTGTCTCCGTCAGGTATTTCGTGCGTGTCATTTTTCTTTCTGTAGGTAGGTTATGATTGCGATAGAGCGATGAGATGGCTGCAACATGGAGAAATGTCAAAAAGCTGTAAAGCAAGAAAAGGTCACCTTCACATTCTCTGGCTTGGCTTAAGTAGAAGAAGTGCAGCAGCATGTCTTGAAAAGAGCTTGCGAGGAATGAAATAAAGTCTCCGAGTAAGATGTAGAAAGAAATCCGACAAGAAATGAAGTCAAAAGTAGACGAGAGAAAACTTGTTCCTTAGACTTGTAAGGAGAACATTAGAATACAATATACCAGAATGACATCCGATAGTAAGATAAGAAATTAGAAAATCTACCAATGAAGAACTTAAAAGCCCCTTATCGAGGAGAAGTCAATATGATCTTTACAGAAGGAATCATTTGTATTTAATATACCTCTTTATTTACAGAAATTCTTACTTCTGGATAAGAAATACGACCTTTTCAATATATAAATATCTGAAAACAAGAACCAACCTAACCTTTTCGTATAATGGTTGGCCTCACATCTTCCAACGTGTGTTGTGATTCAATATTCTTTGTTACTGATTGTTCTTCGAGACGGCGTAACTATCTCGTTTGGCTTTGTGTATTTCAACAGAATTTTTATGGAGTACCAGACCAAAGGTGAAGAATGCCATCCTACAAGTAATACCAGAGCATGCGCCTTAGTGCCCTTAAATCCAAATTCATGGGATGCAATATGTATAAATGGCTCTTCCCAACATTAATTGGGACCAAAATAATCAAAATATTATTTTCTATCTGCTAGATCAAAAATATGAATAAGAGTTATCGTAAGTGCATTGACACATGTAGCTTCATTAACTATAAAGAATTGTTATATATAGACTCATGTCGTTTGAGGAATTTGATGCTCCTTGCTGATACACATCTTAACACGTACACAAGGTGGGTCATAAAAACTCCTTGGACAACAAGGTGATCAAAGAAAGCAGCACGGTAATTTCGACTTCGTCGAGGAGAACGTGGTAGCAAGGATGAGGACGAGGATGTCAATGCCAATGCCGAAGGTACCAAGTATGAAGCACACTTGCTTAAAGGCTTAGAGTAGACGGAGTGTCCTGCGTTCAAAGGCGGCTGGCAGGACGACTGGAACTTTGAACCGTTCGCATGGCGCGTTCTGAGACCAGAGACCAGGAAATATCCGCATGCGAAGAGACGAACGAGCGTTGGGTACTTTAGAGTCAATGTTCTTTATTCTCCAGAACGGACTGACTGTCCCCCATTCCCCCATAGCGCCTACGAAAGCGCAGCATGTTTGAATTTATAGGCCAGCCATTGCTTTAACCCTTTAAAGTTAGGAAGAAGGGGAGATGAAACATCCACGTGGGGCTACGCATCATGGGAGCCGTCCTCGCCTCTTTGGACTGGGGAAATGGAGGACAAATTCTCTCTTGCTCTTCCATTCGTCGATAAAAATGTGGAACCTGGACACTCTCTCTTAATTTAATATTCTAGAAGACTGATACATATTTTTAAAACAGAAGAATTTAATTCTGTAACTTTTTGTGTGGCTGACCGCTTGAAGATCCAGCCGAACTAGGACGAGCTGTGAAACATTAATTCGTTCGTTCGGGAATCGGAATCATTTCCTCCCTTACCGTTGATTCGAGGATTGGAGCACATTTGTTTTGTTTTTCGGGGCTTTGTCTTGTCTCGAGCTAGCAGCAGCAGCGGGAGTTGGAAAACGAACTTTGACGGCACGGGTACGATTTTCACCTTTGTGCAGCTAGAGCTCGAGCTTAAGCTCGGGCTCATGTTCGTACTCTCCGTCAGTTCTGACAGTGGTGACGATCGTGAACTGGTGTAACGCGGCTGCTGAAGAACGCACACTCTAATCGTTATCTCGCGTTGTCGTTTACTATGTTCGATTGTCCGACTCGTTCCCTACCATCTTTTTCTTATCAAACATGTGAAGAACGTCTTTCTTTGAGGTGCCAATTTTGGCTCTATTGTGCGATGGTTTGTTTCTCGAGATGAAGTTTCGAGGGGTACGGATGTCGCATTCATGCTTGACTACGTTCATAGCATTTGAGTTATTAATTCATTCTCTACGAATGCACTTCCTTCCTATCAACAAACAAATAATTTTTGTTGTCTTTAGTCTTTAATTTTATTTATTTTATCGAGTTCTCTTTCTTTGGCTTGCTGGCTCCTGCATTTGTCACCAACATAAAAGATAAACCACTTGCTACTTTACATGATACCTATCTGCTACCAGAGAGTTCAAAAAACATTAAGTTGGAGTAAATACAAGCGGTTATCTCTTATCTATCCAGTTGTCTCCAGTGAACTCAGATGAAATATCCATACACCATGTGCAAGAGTCGTTTTTATTATCCATGTCAAACATCTCCGGTAGAGATAATCGATAGACTTACCCCTTCTCGCATAAGAAGAAAAAGAGTATGTAGTCTGCCACCTTCCAAAGAATAGCCTTGCGTCCATAAAACTGCACAAAAAAAGGTTAACTTTCCGCTCAAGTTAGTACTTCATGCTCTCATTAAAACAACAGCACCGTAGAGTCAATAATACTTACTTAGCATAACACAGGAGGATTGTCCAATCTAGAAAAACTTAGAATATAAGTTTCTCGGAGAAAGATTTACCTGGTCAGCAATGACAATACAAACTTCAGGTGAATTTTATCATGTTCTATGCTATTATTTGTCAAAAGGAAACACCATACGTCCATTAACTCGAAGATAATAAACAGATATGAATCATTTTTAATAATATAAAATTATTATATATTATATTACAAGACGAGTACCTGATAGATTTCAGGCTTGAAAAACCAGATTGATCGTTTCGAAAGATACTGTGCCGTGGCAGACAAACAAAGTGCAAATAGCGACATCCCACAAAGGCACGCAGGACAAAACAGACAGAGCGTTCCAGCGTCGTGAGGTAGTTCGACAGGAAAAAAAGTAAAATGGCGAGCGATGCACTTGGACGAAGCAGGTGCAGTTTGCCTCCGATAACCGAAGTTCACGATTTGGAAGAGTGGACTTCTCCTACAGATTCTCACCATTGGTCACGCTGATGTAAGCATCGAAAGAAGACCCAATCAACGTCAGTCGTTGGTCACGGACAATCTTTCTCATTAAGCACGGCACGTTACGTAAAACGATTTTCAAAATACTTAGCCCACGTACAAGACACAGACTGAGGCGAGATGACCAGCTATAGAGCTTACCCGTCTCCGAGAAGGAGGTTCCAGCCACTCCACTCCAACTTTACTACCAGCAAATGCACCTCAGCTCGTGGAATCGCCACGCTATCTTTCGACTTATCGATGAATTGATCTCTTTCAGTCTCAAGAAAATCCGTTCGATATTTAATGATGCATATGGTCTATTCAACATATCATCGGTCAGTCCTTGGCACATCATCTCTTTCTCCTGATAAAGGTTTGTGATCCTCCACTGAACAGATCACTAACAAAACGTAAAGTTTAACATGGCGGTGTTAGAGAAGAGTAAACCTGGTAAATGGCGAGCATCCACGTTTATACGCATGTTTGTTTTTGGTTCACGATACAATCATCATTCTCACCATTCCACTTTCATTCAATGCACACGGAAGGCAATATAACTATCTTCGGCACATGTATCTCGCCGACTTAACAGTACAGAGGGAATGAAGTTACAGGACTGTCAACTTGGGTCAACATGCATACATTCTCTCTCGGACATGTGAAAGAGGCATAGCCCAGCAGGTCAAAATCTTTCTCCTCGCCTAGGTGCAACGGGCATGCAACCTTTACAGTGCAACGTGGTATCATCGATCACTTCAGGTTTTCCGAGCATAGAGGAGTTGATACCTATAGTAGATTCAATGGTGGAAAGCATGGATATTTTGACAAGACGGCAATCCTCCTCTGCTATTGCTGGGTACTACTTTGCTGCTCTTCACAACACCTGTGCTTGAGCCTTCTGTCTTTGTCCCATAATTATTGAACCAATGCAGAATCGTAATCAGTTCTCGGGGATCACCGACCTTACTGGTGCATTGTGCGTATATTTTCTGAAAGCAATCTTCATTCGGTCGCATCTCGTGAAGTAGTTAGGTTTACATGCAGACATATCGGTGAACAATTTGTGGAAGCGGAGTGAGGTTGAATCTGATAAAGAACAAATAGGTCCCAACTGTAAGTAGGCATACCAGAATGTACCGTGTAGCATGTTGCCTTCCATTAAGAACACAAACACAAACTACTGGGTACATGCTGATGTCATGACACTGCAATTGCACCCAGATTGCTGCTTGTGTCCACAAACATTCTGATTCTCACGAAGATACTGCTGCTCATTCTCGTTCAATGATCAGACTTGACTTTCCGCGTAACTTCTGTACTTCCTGTTCCTTTCGCCGGAGATCCCAAAGTCATCACAGCTGGACAAAATGAACTTGTGATCGCATTCAAACTTCAAAATACAACCATTTAATTGCAGTAACGTGGGAACAGACTCAGACCTAGTTTGCAAACTCTAGAAGAGTCCTGATAAAAAACAAAAACGATAAAACTATTGAAAACATTGAAGTGATTCCGAGGAAGAGAAACCTTGTGATCTCCCAAGGATAAGAAGGGAACGAAGAGCGATAAAGTTGGGGTGAACAGTTGTACCTTCTCGCTCGGGTTTGATTGAATGAAAATATTACTTACAGTGGACTAGCATTCGCCTGATTGAAGACAGTGGAAAAGGTCCCCGTTAATCGTCTTGTCCTTGAATGTGCATTCCCATGATTGAAGTGCTTCTTAAATGTTGGATCGTTTGTTGTTCACAAATGGCTATTAGACAAGCTCCCCTATAAGATTGGATGTTACGCTAGTCCGTGTTCTTCCAAATATAGATTTGGCATAAGTTGCTTTGCCTATGAGATGTGAGAAGATGATTGATCTCGAAATAATGGCGACTCAACATATCTTATCTTGGGAAGAAATAATTGAAACAAGCTCGGAAGAATACAACCAATATGACGAGACAACGACTCCTTTAGATTAATGGCATTTTTCGGGTGGCTGTAAGTCATGGAAGGATATGGGTTTCGTCCCATGACAACTCAAAATGTGACAACAAATATGTTGGCCAATATTTTTGGAAAATATTCTTTATAGAACCAAAAAGGTGTGAGCATAAATTGCTTTAATATATCCGTTCTACTCAATGATATCATATTCATACTTTTCTAAACCAAGGGTGGATGATTTCCTCACCCAGGTCGATCTCACGATTTCGACCAACGAGAATGCAGTCAACAATGAAAGAAGCAATCTTAAAAAATACAGGTTTGAAAGTTGTCAAAGTCCCATTCTTTCGCAAAACTCCAGATGTACATCTAGCGCTCCACAAAGTTGACCACAGTAAGTGGGTGAGAGCCCATTGATCTTCACCATCTGTACTGTTAATTAAACCTAACAGGGTAATGTCGACAGTTAGAGAGAGAGAGAGAGAGAGAGAGAGAGAGAGAGAAAAAAAAAAACGAAAGAAAAGTGAGTAGGCCAGCTTTTAATAACCTACTTTCGTATCTAGCGAGAAAATTCGGAAAAATAGGAGGCCCATCGAATCGGGTCTTATCTTGCAAGCATGACCAATGTCGTCAGTTTTGCATGACGCTTTTTCTACTCCTAAATGGTAAGTGTGCGCAGAGACGTCAGTGAAAGGGAAGGCATGAATAAGAAAATGCAGGTCGTTTCCCTGCGACCAAGAAGTAGTTCCGATATCAAGTACTGTGCATTTGGTTTCCAAGACTGCAGTTATTATTCCATGCATCTTAAGGACCAACTGCGGTCCCCTTCCCTGAGCACATGTTGAGGACTAAGATATGTTCTTCTATGCTTCTCCCCCAAGAACAATCTTCGGACATAAAGTATTGGCATTCCCTTCATGTCTGTTGAGAATAGAGGTACTGACCAAGTAAACAAGCAACTTGTCAGACTTGATTGTCAAAAGTCCTGGAGGACATAAAATTTTCGAACATTGTGGAAGGCAAGGTTTGTTTTGTACATCGTACAAGTGAAAACCGACATTGACAGGGTCATAGCTTGCCTTGACCCAAACTAGATGAAACGCTCCTACTACAAGTTTTCCTTGTTCCGGCCTTTCGGCCACCTTTTTCTTCGCATTTCATCTCTCGCAACAAAGGAATCCAAAAAATGAAAAGAGGAGTGAAAAGACGATGGCTCAGTGCACACAACATGCAGTCACTAAAAAACTCAGCAAAGATCAGATTGTGTCAATACATGATCCTCGTTTTCTTGGCTATCCAGATTCCAATCCCAAAATTCCATTTTGTTCAGGTCAATATCCAAGGACAGGAATTCCTGTACGAGGCAAAGCGCACAGGACAAACCCTACCACCGCGCCTAGAGAGGTAACTAAGAAGGAGGATGATTTCAAGCTTCACAATCATGATCGATGCTGCATCGAAAGACGCCTGATCCCTGGTCGCCGAAGGCCGTAGTACCATTATCCACATATTGGGGATGTTTGGTCGAGATACGCCGAGCGCAAGTGGAGATTCATGTGCAACCCAACCCAACCCATGTTTGATGTTGCCGGGCAAGAAGCAAAAAGCAAGATGCACTCAACAAACAAACAGACAATTCTTCCTGCAGACTTGCAACTGGATCACAGAGTCGTTTCTCGTGCTCTTTTCCGGCCTGAAAAGAATCTGCCTTTCGCAAGTCCCCAGCCTGTCTCCCTCCTGTGCATGAATGGCGTTTTCCCTCCGCTCCCGGGCCCATGCACCCTCCAAATCTTTCCAGGATTTCACTTCGGCTGGCACGCCCATCCATTCTCCTCCATGTCTCGTCTCGCTCGAATTGCCGTGGGCTGCTGCCACCCCACATCCACTGCGACCGAGGCTACTCGGCCTTTCGCAACTAGCGCTCCTCAGGTTGCCCTAATTGTTTATTGACGAATTTCTACGTGATGGACTTCGACTTTTCTTTTTCCTCACGGGCAAATGAAGAAATTGATGAAACTTATGCGTATTCAATTGTCAATCTTGGTCGAGGAGATACTTTCAAACGAAGCTGCAGTTGCCCCCCAAATAATATGCAGTTCATCGTTTCGTTTAATGGAATAGAATAAAGAAAAAAAATATATAAATCGCTTATTTTCTTGTAGGTCATGCTCTGTTGCATCCGGTATTTTCAAAATCTATGAAATTTTCCTCTTCATGAAATAAAAATTATCTGGACTGCAATTTTTTTCTGCACTCAATATAAGTCATAGCGTCTACATACCTTTCATGTTTATTGGGCACATCTTCATCAATCAAATAGCCCGATCGAGCTTTAAGACTTGCTCACTTTTATCTCGGGGATTTATTCTCAGTGAGGGGGTGGGCATTGAAAATTCAGTTCGAGCCAAAATCATCCCTTGAGGAGCCCATTAAACAGACCTCGATAATTCGATAAAAAAAATCTGGCACCCAAAAATTGTATATACAATGCTGTCTGCCAGACTCTACCCAAAGTTAGAAATAAGTCCGTCATATAATCTCTGCCATAGACGAACCAAATACGAGTTAGCAGAACCGGAACCATGGTTGAAGGGCAACCAACCCAGGGCCAGTTTAATCCACATGGAAACTCAACTCGGTGGCAGGCACTTGTGAGCAAGTAGGTACACGCCAGCGGTCAAAATATGTGAACTGCGGACCAGATGAGAACTGCAGACCAGATGAGTACTGCAGACGGCATCGTCGCCAGAGCCTAAAAGCAGAGCACAGTACAGTACCGGTAGCAGCAGTTGTCTGAAAGAGGACTTTCTTTCGCTCAGGGAAAGGTCGTGATCTACCACGTAGACCCTCGATCGGGCTTGCATGCTTTCCGCTGGAACGTACTCGAAGCGGTACAGTATGTACTGGCTCTGCCGTCGATCACAGAAACATATTCTGACACCCAGGACAAAAGAGACCTGCACAAAACGACATACTCTTCTGGGCAATTTGGAGGATCGCACTTTTCTGATTCGCCGTGCCATCTTTTTGCTTCTGTTCGAGACATTTCTACATTGTTTTTGCGTTGTTTACTATGGTTATAAACCGAATGAAAGATGTACTTTGCCAATCATGGTTTTAATGCATGTAGGCATGACACCGAGTGTTATGTTGTCATGCTCTGTATTACATCAATCCATTGCAAGATTTACATATGACAATGTTTTGGAGTGGTGATTATTCTATGTATCCATAACATCATCACGATATATGGGTTTAAGAACAAACTTACTGAACAAAAACATTTTTCTCTGAAGAGATGCATAACTATAAAAGTTAATTTTAACACATAATCCAAGTAAATGAATGTGTGGGTATATATATATACATACATACGTATTAGAATATAGTCCATATTTCACATTTTTTATTTCACATTTATGTGGAAATATTAGTCTAAATATTGACACACACATAGTAGTGCATGATAGCAAAGTATACCATGTAACATAGGTAGCACTCTCTTCATAATAGTCAGTAGTCTATTTTAGGCAAATGTATCCATTGATGTACACATATCACTAGCTGAGGCATTTAGGCAATACCCGTCTTTCACCGTTGGTTTAGTCCATGTAAGACTTCATGGAAATTTCCCAACAAAATTCTATATTACTTGAATCATTTCTTATTTTAATAATTGCAAGGAGAAAATTGGAACATTAGAGATCACACTCGATGAGGCTAAGAAATTCTTAACTCCGATCAGTCAGATGTACTAAATATATAATACACATGTCCATATTTGAAGGGTTCTGTAAAACACAATTTAGTGCATCTATCGAGGGTCATATTCCAACAGGACCCCAGGATTTAATTAAAATTTTTAACTTATCCTTGATGTGGACTGGATGATAACCAAAGACATCTGTCACATCATAAAGGACAATACAAAAGAAATTGGGCACCAGAATTTTTGGATGAAATATTTAGTGTGAATGGAAACTCCAAGACTACTTTTAACACGCATTTTTGTCAGGTATAGATCTGAATTTGTTATATGGATGGGCGTTGTGATTACACCCACCAGGTGGAAAGCTCATCAGAATTTCTATATGGACCGTTGTGTATCAGAGATTGACACCTCAGAGCCGGGAGGGTTAACTCCAAGAATGCTAACAACTTAAAACGGCTGAGTTTGAAGGATTATGTGACTCGACTGTTGTGCCAGAGGTGCTCCGTTGTGGAAGTTTGAGGATCATGTCATACTCCATAGCCCATATGTCACGACTATTGGTAGATGGCACGAACTTTATCTTGAAGGACAAAGATGTGAGATTTGATGTCTACCAGTTATGATTTGCTTAGTGCAGAGTGATGCTCTATATATTTCCAACTTATTTTGATGATGAAAACAACTCTCATCCGTCTCAGCGTTGCAGCTAATTTATGATTATCTTATCTGAAAATTCTTAAAACATTTCGTGCAAAAGCTTTAAAAGGGTGAATAGTACTCATCCAGCAGTCTGTCTCTCTCATGGATAACAGATTCTTCGATATCAAATCTAGTGAAATTGCCTTGTATGCAACGACAGCGTGTCCCGGATAGAGCACTCGAGCATTCTTGTTGGACTTGAAAACAGGGCACAACTGAGAAACTATGTAGACTTGAAAACGCAAAAGACTACTTTTCGAGTTGGGAGAAAAAGAATCGAGGTTGATTGGGCTGGAGCAGATGGCATCATCATCGAACCACGTAATAATACCAGGAAATCTGGTAGTGTAACATTCTGTCTGGTCAAATGGATGCGACCTCCCGGTCAAGCAAACAATTAGTGACAGTTGTGGCTGATCTTTCGTGATCATGTCATCCAAGTATAACAGCACTGTACAGACCATCCGTGATCGATACAGTAAAAGTTGACTACAAACACATCAGTTGTTCTGCACAAAACTGTCATCGTAGCGTGTTGTGATAGCTTAATGTGTAAAACACTATAATATTGAATCCTGATAAATATTAAATTTGTACTAAGATTTATCTATTTAATGATTCTGATAGAAAATTTATTAAGACTTCAAAAAAATGCGGATGCCCTCTGTTCGTTTTACTCTTGTACATTGAGGCGTCTCGTCTCGGCTCTAATATATTTTTGTACAAGTCTAGAGAATGTGTAAGCTTCTTTTACCCTGAATGATAAGGACTGGATGCAAATGACCAGAAAATACATATGAGAAAGGAATCTATGAAATAGTAGAAATGGAAGATAACGCAAAAGTTTAACTTGAAGTGATTCAATATTTCCCACACAGCTCCTTTTCCGAAAAATTGCTTGTTGTTTACCAAAAATTTAGGGAAGCTTTGAGTTCTTAAAAGAGAAGCAAATGGTGGTAGATGATTATCCCTTAATTATTTTTTCGTCCTCGTCAACTTTGCTATTTATCTCCATTCATCTACCCTATCCTTTATTGCAGCGATGGTGAAACGAGTGAAATGTTCACCAAAATCTATTCCTTCATTCAGAAATATGACCATAGAGAGGATGTGATCATATACGAAATGATTGTGGTTTTACACTCGTATTTTTTATTTTATACTTTCCTTATGGCCCGAGCTTGCAAATGTGAGTACAACATCCACAAAGGCAAAGAAAGGGAAATCAGGCAGTTTGTAAGTGCCTGTGCATTTCCTTCAATATCGGACTTGTACTTTGGGTACGGGGACACTTGCTCAATTTTTCAACGGAGTAACTAGCTTGCATCGTTAATAAGACTGGATATAAAGACATGCAGCTTTTCTCATTATTATATGTTGTAAAATCATTTTCTGATGTATCTGTACGACTTTGTGCTGGGGAGTTCATGGATTTCTAAAAATTACTAGTCTATCTCGCTTTATACTTTTAGATATCTCAACGCCGAAGCTGCTATCAATAATTCACATTTTGATATTGGATTATTCTCTGTATCGTATGACGTGAAAGCGAACCGATCCGTTACCTTGCTGGTGAAAAGGTATCGCCATTGAAAAAAGTATTGGAAGAGGACAAGAGCGCGCTGTGCTCGTGGATGAGGAAGATCATGACCACTTCGCAGTGACGCAGCGGAGGATCCGGTGAATATATGGACTTGTGTGAGCATGATTTGAGAAATGATTCTAGAATATCATATACTAACCTATCATCTCCCGAACTGTTTAAAGCTTGAGAGATTATGTGATTTATTCTTAAAAGTCTGCAAGCTTCCTATCTTTAGATATGGACTTCTTTTCTTCTCTGAATTATTCTCCTTAGACTTCGATGTACAATAAAGAATGTGTAATCTCAATCTCAGAACTTGAATTATTGCTCCCTAAGAACTTACGATGTGTTGGTTGGTGATTTGTTTTGCAAGTGGTCTGTGAACTTCCAGTGAAATGTGAGACCTTCACTCTTAATTACAGAACCCACTATAGTGCACATATTTGTCGAGCATGTCAGCGCATGTGTTCTGAAAGTCATATAGGATTCCAGTGGACACGGTGCGATCACCAAACCTGTTTTAATGGTGATATTCACACAAGACATCTACTTTTCAAAACTACACTATTTCCTACCGTGATAACTGTAATGACGAAACTGAAGTGGTGGTAGTTGCAAATTCAGTTTTCATAATAAATGTGTAAGGCATAAGTAAGATATGGGACTTGTTACCTAGCCTTCCTCAGACTACTGTAGGCGTTCTCTGTACCAGGAAGTACGAAGTACTGTAATTGGAAGGAGTCGTGGAGAGATGTTGTAACTCATGGGACGGACTTAGTACAAGGTTAAGCTGGATCCTGCACAACTATTCCATGTATCATAAGGGTCAATTATATCACATCTGATCAAACCTTCAGAGACACCACCATTGCATTGGCCAATATGTAGAGAGGCAAAGGCATCGTTTTTATCAAGCCTACTTTTGTAACAGATTTTAGGTAGCCTTTGTTATTTAAAGCAATGTTCCTGCAATTTGCAAATTAGGTTGTGTCTAGGAATTATTGTTCTTCAATTACTATGATGAAAAAATCATGTATTACTGCCATTGCAAAGATGCACCATCGAGAAGCTTGACAGTGAAATTATTAATAATATCAATCATACGCGGGGCTAGCACATGTAAGTCAGGTTAGACAAGCAAGGTTTTGTTGTACTAGATGAGCACGAGAACCAACTAGAACATTCTTAAGTTATTAAATCGTAACTACCAAAATTTTAAAAATGTTGGAAGGTCACATCAAATCCGAAAGGGGGTAACCATGTAAAAGAATGGAAGATATACTTAATCCGGTTGGCCGGCCATCTGTTGGTCATGAAGGCCACCTTTGAGGTCATGTCTTTTGGTGTTCTTCCACTACCCAGTCCCCTCTAGGGACTCGGACCGTAGCACCGTCGTCCTGAACGCGTCGGCGGCTAGGCCAGTGGAGGCCCGCCGGGTCTCGCTGTTCGTACTGGGGCAGCCAGAAGGGACGCCAGAACTGGACGGTGCCTGGTGTCTGGGCTGACCGGTTCCATTGGTCGGTCTCTTCTCACGCGTCCGATGCAGATCTAGAGGGCCTCCTTTCACGACTCCATCATCTACCCGTCCCACCCGCGTACGACGCCGCGTCTGTCCAAGGCGCCTGAACCAGTCTGACGTCGGCCTTCGATCCAACGACCGACCGTTGCCTAGATATTTGTATCAGTTCGATCCGGTGGTCCGGCCTTCGGGAACCGTGAATAAATCTCCTATCCGCATGGAAGACAGAGTCCCGGACCTTGCAAACAGAGTCTCCTTTTTCTCGATCTCCTCCCTTTCTAAGCATAAGTATTTATTCAAAAAATTATTCATTGCACACTATTAATAATTCTTTAGGACATTCACCCGATTTTTCTACTCATTCGTTTCTAGGACGTGCCCCGTTCCCCGTCTGCCCTCAAGTACTTGAAGTCGCATGTTTCTCAAGACAGTTCCTTGTCCCCTTCTTTCTTTCCGATTTTTTCGACTTCCGTATACACTGAAATTTATTCCCACAATTTATTCACTTAGCTTTGTTCCTGTTCCTTTCACCAAAAAATCTTGAGAGCTTTGCTTCACCGTTTCGAGAGACAAATTAATATTGACCCGAAAACTGTTAAATTATTCCGTCGCTCATTTTGACTCTACCAAAAGGTGGTGGTGGTGGTGCTGGAATGGTTGAGTAGCACCCTCGAGACTAACCCTACCAACTCTCTCGTATATCTTTTGATTTGCTAAATTCGACAAAGCGTTGTAAAGATGAGGGAAAGGAACTAAATAATTCCTTGCTTCCTTTGCAAGGTTTGTACCAACATCTGCCCATTTTTGGTCAGCGGTTACATGAACTGAGAGTACCAGAGAGGGCCAGCAGTCCTGGACAGAATAAACACGCCAAGATTTTCTTATTCAAGCAGAGGTCCCTATTCTTGCACCTCTGCTCTGAAGACTAGTCCGGTTTTCTAAAGCATCTTTGCAGAAAAGAGAGTATACTTCAATGGATTGAGATGACTTTGTCCCGTTTCCTTTCGTTGCTTCATTTGTATGCACAGGTTGGTACAATTTGGCCGTGGTTTTTCTTGATTACGTACCCGAATGACCTCCTTAGAGATCCTCCTCCCATGGTCACGGTGTAAATTTTAATTTTCATAATCATCCCAAGGCCCAATAATTTTTGTATGTGTTGTTTAAACAATGTTTTATTGGTAGATATACTGTTCTCCCCGCATTTTGCATTCTGCATCCCAGAATGTCCTTGAGAACTTCATTGCCAAATCAGCATTTGTATTCACGAAAACATTTTGAGGCTTAAAAGTTCAAATTCTGTGAACCAGTTCAGTATAGGGCAAGAAAATAGCACTCTCCAAAGAAAAATATCACAACAGTTCAGTTTTGCGCCGAAAATTTATAAGTTTCTGGTCATGAATGAAGCTGACGAGGAGCGTCTGAGCTCTGAAGTTTGGTTCGAAGCACAAACAGAAATGAAAAGACATCAACGTCATGTGACAGATACTCATGATCGGATTTGACAGAAAACCTGTTGTGGAGAAGCACGTCCCTGTCAGCGTCAGTGGCGATTTCTAAGACGTGCAAAAGTGATCCCACCCATCAATCTCCTCCATAACAACCTCACTCTGGAAACAAAAACCTTCACGATTCTGTTGACGAAATCACTCGCTTCTGTGACATGTTTCTAGACACCTCGTCTTCGCAATCCTGCTGCCACGACTTTAGATCTCTTGCCCGGATCTCTGGCTGGCCTGCTTATCTAGAGTGCGGAATTTAGGATTGCAGCAGATTGCTGACTCTGCACACGAAAACCACCACGCTACGCACAAATCTCTCCATCAGATCGCGTCTCCATCCGAATGTGCACACACCACCAAATTCTGGCCCAATTCCGGGCTCCGACTGCCATGTCACCAGCCGCAGGTTGAGTCATGGCTTCCACGTAGGCTGCCAAGTACGAAAGACATATCCGAAACGATGATGACGATGACTAATACGTGGATCTGATCCGTCGCTCGTTCGCAACTGTATTGTGAACTGTTCCTGTTGGAGATGTTTGCTTCGACGTACAACAGGGACATGCTTCGACAGCCGACGTGGAAAGAGAACGAACAGAATTGTCGCCTTTCTGCGATGGGCGGAAAGAATTGTGGCCTTGGCTTTGCTTAATCTGGTTGCCCCGTCACCGCCCCCATCAGCGGTCTCACGACAGCTTAAGGTGATGTTGCCTCCATGTAGGCCCTCCACAGTCGTCGTGTCATCCATTATTCAACGGTGCCCGCTAACGAAAGTACATGCACAGATCACGGAAAAGTTCTTGAAAAGCCGATGGATGGAATCCTGGACGTGCTGCTGACCTTGTACTGCATAGAACCGTTGCCGTAGTGAGGCGTTACATAGACCGAAATCTTGTGTCTAAACTCGACGCGGTCGGTCCATCATCGTATTCCAAGGACGTTGAGATTCTTGAGATTTGATTCGCCGGCCCTTCTGCTTGAACTTTGCTCGACGCTTGGACTCGTCTTCTTCTATTGTTTCATGGCGGGCCGGGGATTCGCTTCCGCCATGAGACAGGCTCCCGATCGATGTAACACATGAGCATCAGCGACTTTGACGAAGAATGAAGCTGATTTCAAGACGAGGAAGATGCCAGGTGTCGTCATGCTCAAGGTTAGACTTTCTGTCTGTGGTCGATCTTCGCCTTGTCTGTGTGCTTGTATTTTTTCATTATTTTTTTCAAATAGTTTCAAATAATTTTATGGTTTCTCGATCGCTCGCCCGCTTTATGGCCGTGGGCCACGAAGAGCATCAAAATATGAGTGTCTTTTATGAAATGTCTGTTTTGGGGAATTTTCGATGGGAAGATTATGCGATGACTAATGGGTTGCATTCGGATGAGATATTTCACTGGCCTTTCAGTCTTCATAGGTTTTTGTCGCACTTGGTTGCTGGAATGAAAGCAAGAAGAATCGGTAGGGTGTACTGAAGGTATTTCAGTCATATGCAGCAGAATATAGGCGAGTGTGAATGTTGACGATGGACAGGTAGAAAAAGCAGGACGAGAGACATGCGTGGAAGGTTCCGCTTGCTTCGCATCGTAAAGAGGTTTGGGCTCGTATGTAGTAATCTCAGGGCCTAGTGCTCAGACTATTCCAGTCACAATCGTTGGATCAAAAATATGTGAGAGAACTCACTGCCATCTTGCCTCCTTCCTTGTGTTCACTTCTGGACCCCACTTCCTCGTATAAGACTGCCACAGTGCGATAGGGTAGAGAAAAGACGAGGGGAAGATTTTGAGAGGAGCAAAGTCTTGTGGGAGGTTGAGCATCTGCTGCCAACAGGCCTTCCTGTTTATACTGCAAATTCCATTATGAAGTGCTGTTTGTATCTACATGCCTACGGCGAGTGTTTGGTGTGAACAGCAGAAATATTTTAACTCCCATGTGATTGAAGGACACCAGTAGTCACACCTGGCGTGGGTCCAGTATTCAACTGATTGTTGTTGGCTGAAATTCGAACCAAGAGGAACTGGTGGGACTAACAGCAGATGAACTGTTATCTTCGACAGTCGTAAGGAGCGATGAAATGTTCTTCTGGGAGCTGATTCTTGAATCCTCCTCCTGACCTCAGATCCTACCAGACAAAAGTTGAACTAATAACACATGGTTCACTGAAGCGTGAAGCCATAACATGCTCATTGATATTCTCTACGTTGTGAGTCGATTGTAGAGCAGTAGTAGATTGTAGAAACTAATGATAGACTAATGAGAGACTCTTGAGCTGATCACAATAATTCCCACCACAATATGCTCATTTAACTTACGTCTAAGTTACTTAAAGTTAGTTGACGGTTGAGAATATTTTTTCGTATTTTGTTGAAACTTTTGGTAATAAGATAATTTCAAACTTGAAGCACGTTGATTTTTCCAATGATAACAAGGTAATCTTTGTCGAATTGGTAATTCGAAGGAACTCCTGATAATCTTCTTTTATCCAATTTTATAAGTTGCTGGATGGTTTAATCTACTTTATTCTGGATTAGGAAATAAACAACGAGCTCATGTTATATCCAAAAAGTGTTCAAACGATCGAATAAATTTTTACCAACTGCAAGAATATATTCTCGGTTAATCAAAATTCGTAGTGAAAAAATAGTACAACGAGATCACTTAAACATAAAAATGGATTTACATATGAATTTGAAAAAAAACTTAATCTACAATTTTGACCATGATGATATTAAAATAATATGATTTTTAAAAATAGAAAAGAAGATAAGTTTTATTTAGTTGATTGATTACATGAAAAAAAATTAAATTATAAGAGGATTTGGTAGTTTTTTCGAATATAAATAAGTATCTTCAATAAAGATCCTTATGGTTTATTCAATGCATTGTGAATGTAATGTCATAAGTGCAGGAATTTGAAGGTTATTATTTGCATTGATATATCAATTTCAACATGCCTGATATTCACTTTCAATTTTTTTCCTAACATGAGTATTCATTTGCAAGTTTTTGCCAAAGAAAAGCATGCTCTTGATTTTATTTTTTACACTCAATTTAACATTCATTGAATTGCATGAGTCATTTGACTACTTTGATGAAAATCCAATATTAAGTCAATTTTATTTTTTCTTTAAAACATCTAAGTTCAAATATTTATAGTTTGTGTGGACAATTCAATTTGATTCAATTTCAAATGATCTTATATTTTGCTGATACAAAAGGCGAAACTTCAACATGAAAAATTCATCATACTTGTTGATAAAACCAAAAACTTTAATCCAAAATATTTGAAAAACGTTACATTGCATTTCACAAAACTATTTAAATATTCATCTCTTGAAACATTGAAATAAATCGACAATGATATGTTCTATCACATGTCAATATGCATACTTCATGTGTAAACTTAATCACAACTGTCAAACTGTAGATTTAAGTTATTTATAGATTTTTTCATTTCTTCAAACTCAAACTTTTCAAATTTTCCTACAAATAATAGGAAAGTATTAATCTCATTGCCATAGTATCATACTAGAAAAAAATCAAATAAATGTCACCATCTTTTTCGAATTTGTGGGTTAGAGTTGCTTGAGCTTGGTGCATCTTTCACGTCTTTATTACTCGCATATGTGAAATCTTTTCTAAATTCATTCGACAACAGAATCTCAAGGGTTTAGTAAAATGTACTAACCAACTGATGATGCAAGTCCAGATTGCATCTCGTACACGCATCTGCTCGTCCTTCTCCTCCTCCTTGTCGACAGGACTCAAACATAACTTACAACATTCACTCCCAAAGATTCGGTCAAGTCATTCTTATCTCCTAGTTTGAAGAAAAAGTCTAATAATGCGGAATGTCACATGCACTTGCATGCTTCTTGACCCCACTTTTCACCATATTCAGCGCTAGCACGTGTGAGATTATACAAAAGTCCATGGCAAATATAGGCAGGGCTCCATGGCTGCCTGCCCCAAGATCCATATACAGGAGGAACCCCAGGCCAAGGCAGCTCACAGGCAGCTCCTTACGCAGCTGCTCGGTGCTGCTTCCCTGCAATCACTGCTACGCAATATTGCAGTCAAGCTTAAATCTTATGATGATGGAGTGTTCGCTGGTTATCATATGAGCGGAAGGTTCATGTGCCCACTCGGCTCCTCGAAGTTGGAACAAGAGACACTAGGCACACTAGTCTGGCATGTGGTTTAGTTACCCAGAGGTATTGTCCTGCCAGCGGTCGGTCGACTAATCAGAACCCGGCCCATGAGCTTGGAAGAATGGGTGCTCAGGTCAGGCAGTCAGCGGCAACAGCTGAGTCCTGTGTTTGTCCCGGACCACATACATGACCTGGTCATCGTGGTGATGGTCATGCTCGGATGTTTGCTTCCATACGAGGCGTGGCTCAGACATCTGAACAAGGGGTGTTTCTTCAGAGCACACCGAGGAGTTCCATGCGTGCTCCCATTCGAAATTCCTTAGAGGCTCCAGGGTCAAAAAGTGGTCAGATGCTCCTGGAGACAAGGGGTGTAGGTGACCTTCTTCCTGCATCCAGTCCTTACTCTCATGCAGAATAGCATATACAGTAAAATTGGAATGAAGCCTGGAGAATAGAACTGACCTCCTCCACTTGTGCCTTATGGGTCCATGGAGGGAGGGAGGGAGGGACGGTTCATGGACCCAGATGGCACAATTCAATCGCTCGGCGGGTGCCTCGCAGAAGCCACTGTGATAGTATTTCTGCCAATATCTGCCAATATCTGCCAGTTTTGCAGGCTGTCCCGCTGCCTCGCCCTGTCGTGATACATACTTCACTAGTAGAATCTCTCTTAAAATGCGGGAGGAAGAAACAGTTCATGTCTTGGCTTGGGCATCCCTCCTTCAGATGGGCCTTGTCCGTCGTTGGCAACCATGTTGCACAGTTTAGTTCTTCCAAACTCCCTCACACCAGACCATTACAACAAAGATGTCTACCCATTGCTCGTTAGTTTCGTTATTTTGGAGCTTATGTTGCACAGTATTTAGCCATAGAACATCGCAATGCTTCATGCAGCTAATCTATCTTCACCGCTGTTCTGACTCTAATTTATGTCTAGATTCCCAAGGATTGCGAGTGTGAGAGTACGTTACGCAACAGACAATTCAGCAAGTCCTTTCAGGAATAACGCAACGCTAAAAATGCGCGGGTAGGCATGAATATTCCATAATAAAAGATGCAGCTTCCGCAAAAATGTGCTTCTCAGATTGTTTCTCGAAAGTGTTGGTTTCAGTAGGATATAACCATATTCCCTTTATCAGTCCAAAAGAGACGGTCACTTGGAATCACGTTGGAAAGTCGTTCTGCATGTCTTGAAACTAACAATGTCAAACCCATCCAAAGATATATACTTCAATGCCATAAATGTCAGAAGAAACTTACACGGAAGGAAAAGTGGAAAGACATTCATTGATTCACTTATCAATCTGAAAGTCAATGTCTGTAGTGCTCACCGCTCCACTCATATCTCTTGCATGCAAGTCATAAGATCCAACTCTCAATTCGGGATTTCAAAGAAATTCATGTTGAAGATTCTCTCATGAGAATCAGTTCCGCATTTATCTCTTGCATGTAAATCATAATAACCAATAATAATTTTCGGATCTGAAACATTTTACTATCACATCTTCTTTCCATTTTAGTCAATGCTCTTTTAAGTCCAACAATAATACGTTGTCTCGCATATTCTGTATAGTGAAATAATGATATGTAGGCTTCATGTCACCTTTAATGGCAAAAACATAGATAATTATCTGTCATGTTAAACTCTTTCTTGCCCATCGATCCACGATCATGTCTTGCGTGAAAAAAATCAAAATATAGAATGAAAACGTGGACTCTCTAACAATCTGTATGCTTAGGATTCTCTTGATGTTTGATTGCAAATTATGCAAATTATAAAGTATTGTCAATGGGATGTTTTAACGATTGAGTAAGATAATGTACTCAGAAATGTGCTCCATTTTACTCGAGAGTCGTGTATAGTCTTTGACAATATATCTCATCCTCGTAGCTAAGAAGAAATAAATGCATGTATTTCTCGCCGACTATATCACATGCAGATTGTAGCATTACACTGAACTCCGACTCCGACACTTTTTCACCCTGTCTATGACAAATATCTCTACTCTCAATATATGTGTAATTTTTGTTTCTATTAAACTACTCTTTGGACAATTCACTTTTGAGATTATTTAACAAGTACTTAGCTTTTTTTGGTTTAGCATTACTTCTATTCAGACAACCTGCACTTGCCTTGACATCATGCATTCAAAGATTTGTTGGTCATGTATTCTAGCTCCATCAGATGAAATATTTGCAACATTTTTTTGAACAGAAACCTGATTGCAGTGGTCACACATGACAGTACATTTACAGGATATGCAAACAAGTATCAAGATGAATTCAAGTCATTTACGTAAACGAGAATAACTTGGTGTGACTGACCTTACTACAAAGTTCCCATGAAATCAATAGGGTAACATCCAATGCAGCCTCTTCTATACCTCTACATGTTTATAAAGTCTTCAGTTTCAGCTAACATTCACACTGGATCGGTTCTCAAGAATAGTGAATTGACAATCGAAACTTAAAGTTTAAATTATACACTGTCGTCAGTAGTGACATAATTGCGACCCTGTGACTAATAAGTATCATGAAAGTACAATTAACATGATCCATTCTTTTATCGTGATCTCATCCTTCGTCCATTGCAGTTTGTTTGCGTGGACATCTTTATGTATTTCTCCTCTTTCAACTCTTATCTAAAAAACTCCATATTCGTGTGATATGCTTAATTTTTACTGCCTTCCCGAGCGCAAACCTCTAACATACCGGAGATTATCTGTTAAGTTTTACATATTATAAGCTTATGACGTTTTCGTGAAAAATTATAATAGAATAAATATCGAGTTTAAGTGTTTGTTGATCTTGAGACATCGCCTATTTTGGTCAAATCGGCCTATTCCGTGTGCACTTCATAACCTAAATGGCTGCACTTCGGTGCTACTGTCATTTTACTCCTCTCTGTTCCCAGTAACTCTCAACAGACATATACTAGGACGTGTCTAGTCGACGAGAAGAAACAATATCGCGATCAAAATCGCGATATTCGACCATCATCGAGGGATTACTCGGGGACTGATACATGAAAACATTGACTAAATCATATCCAAAATTTTGTGAACATACCTTAGATGTTTGAGCAGGAAACATAGCACGGACAGACATTTCGAGCTCTCATTCTTATGTAGTCGTTGATATAAGCTCCTCATGTTCATGCCATTTACATGGCCCGAAAACACGGAATAATCAAGTCACTGTTCACCGTTCAAGCTGCTTGATCACACCTTACTCCTCCATGCTACTAGGATTTGGCTTGTGCTTAGAAAACGTTTAGATATCTGAAGTAACATGCATCAACAAACCTGTTTCATAATTTGCTGATCAATGCAGCGAGAACTTCCGTAGCTTTTGAGGGCTACCATTCGAGTTTATACCTTCGCCTGTGAACACGACACCACGGCAGCTTTCGAAAGCTGCCGTGATGTCTGAATGGTGACCCAAGATGGCTGACGATTCTTGAAAGAAAGAGCTTTCAAGAGGGTAGTCCCAATTTGGGACGTAACAGTGGTCAATATTAACCTGAAATGTCCCTTAGCCCGTATATTTTGACACAAGATTAAAATACTAGCTCTTCTTGAGTGTTATGGCTCCAGCCCCCAAGAAGGGCCTTCTTTGCCTTCCACCTAAGCTATTAAGTTCCTCACGAACATGACCGGATACTCATGGCTTCCAGGCTTCTTTTAACGAAGGCTAATCCTACCCGAGCTGTGCCATACTGACGAAAAGATGCTCTGCTACCGTTGTTTTCCTCTAAGAACGATCAAGGTAGCCTTCCTACTGTCAAAATTGAGTAATTGGTAATATTTATATTACATTGATGTCGACGACGAAACTTAAAACCAGTTGGATGTTTCATAGTCCCTAAATCCTCGCAAATAGTTCTCCATGTTCTCACGAGTTTTCTCCCATTGCATAGCTCCTATAACCTCATCTGGAGTCATTTGCTCTTCCTGTAAGCATGAACGAGAAGTAAGTTTGATGTGTTCAGGTAGATCAAGGAGAAGACGACGAAACATCTCTCTTGGGTCTCCGGATAAACAGTTGGTCTACATCTCAGCCCAAAAAACTTCGACCATAACATAAAAAGGTACTGTACCTACCCGATTTTTCAAACGTTGTGTTCTTTCTGCCTGGCGTGTTAAAAATACAAATATCGCAGAGTAGTTAAACAGCTCTTTAAACAAGTCTCTTACCTCTGGTATAATTTTAAAAGTGTTTCCATCATCTCGTACGATCAAAACCTCCTGACTCCTGTCGCGGTTTTTGCCCCCGGGAACTTCAACCTGTTACATTACGAAGTTTGAGTTTGGTTAGGGACGGTTTCTACGCGGTGATGACGAATATGAGGGACGTTACTGGAAAAAAGGTACAAAACGTCAACGCTGAGATCGATAACAGATTATAACACCCACAAATGTAGCTGAGATCTCTTACTTTGACTTCGGCCCGAGTGATAGATTTTGACTTGGAGTCAATGACATATATCTCTTCGAAATCCAGAATGAACTTCTCATGATCTGTGCGCCTGTCTTTCAAATGCCTCATGAGAAATATCTGGAAGGAAATTTAAGAGTTAAAAGCATGCTGATGCCAGAGATGTCTTGCAACCGGTACAAGCACAACCAGGGTAGAAAGGGAAAAGAGGAACTATATAAAAAGACGAATGCACGCCCATACCATGTTTCCAGAAAAGCCAAAAGACAAGAGTATTTGATGTCAGAAGGACATGGTCATACCAACATAATCGACACTAGAAGCCTGTGCGGAGGCTTGCACAGGCCAGGGAGGATTCGATAAAAACAGGAAAATAACCAGAGGGAAAAACTCGGACTATATGTTTTCTCCAAGAATTATCTCTCGTGTTTAACATGCACAATTCCTTCTACGCCACTCACTTTTAGCACGGTCGATTCATTTCGTTTAGGCACTTAAGCGATTTAAGCACAAAGTGAAGACAGAAGACAGTGGTTGCGAAAGATTAATTGAAGAGAAGCAGGTGAGTGACGATAAGTGTACCTTCATACATTCCATATCGGTTTTATAAAGTGGAGCGCGTGGCTGATCCACAGGCGGTTCTGTAGTATGAATGTATTCGTACCTGCTTGCTGTACACCTCACGGGCTGTTAACAAAAGAATGCGTATGTCAGGGCGAGATGAACTCAGATAAACTGGGACCAAGACATGGACTGTCACAACAAGTCTTCAAGGGGTAGAATCAAGAGTGATCATTTCTACTCCGCGCTGCCCAGAGATAGAACGAGCTTTCGTGCCTGAACACTGAAGTACCCTAGAGTGACCTCACTATTGTAGCAGCGGGCATTTTAGGATATTCATCTCTCAACTTGACCAACGATGCTGCAGTCTATATTTGAATTGCTAATCTCACATTGTCTTCACAATTCACATGCGAATCTCTACGATGAAGTAGGCCACCACAAGATTTCCAAATCCTAAACATCATTGCAAGGACTCAATGTGAATGATCAACGACTGTGAGTCGCACCTTCTTGGGCATCGTCCCAACGACCTTGGGAATAGAATACGTATCTGTGTCTGGAGGAGTCACATACATCTGCAGCATTTATTGAAAACAAAGATTAACAACAGTAAAACTTGAAGCTGGAACTTGAAAATGTTTGTGGTCCTTCAATCGGCAATCGCAGATAGCCTTGAACTATGACATCCACGTCTCCGTTCATACATGCTGAACCTTTATGCACTATGACCGCCAAACTTTGAATTTCATCTTTTTAGACATCAGCCCCGATCGACGAAATTTCGAAAGGTGAAAGCAAAGGTACTTTTCCACAAAGTACCTCTCGAAAATCATAGACATCATCATCTGGGTCCGAAATCTTCCTGATAAAAAAGTCGCAATTGAATAAGCTCATTTTGTGGAATTCGTCCTCGTTGATTTTCCAGTCCACTACAGTCTCCTCCTCCTCGCCCTCGGTACTCATAAACGTATCGCTTTCTGCAGATTCATCACGCCATAATTAAAACACAAATTGTTGCGGCGACAGGGGGATTGAGCAATTATCGAGCTGCTACACAGCCTCACAAACCATAAACCTCGGCCACTACGGCTAACTCGGGAAATTCACCACCGCGTGATGGAATTTAGATGGAACTGCCCTACAAAGCGTCTTGCGCTGCAGTCGCCTAGTCTCCGAGCGTCTGCAAACAACGAGCTCAATCAAGAACTGGGAAGGAGGCAGAAGCGTACCACCGCGCTGCAATGTCGTATACCCCGCAATCGATTCATATTCCGCTTCGTAGTCACGCATATCATCTTCCTCATCCTCGCCAAGCTCCGGCCTGTCCATCTCAAAATCCACTTCATCTTCGAGCTCGAATTCATCCGAACGAGCCCTGAACCGCTGAAGCTTCTGCGTCCTCTCGCCCAGCGTCCCCGCAATCCTCACAGACTGAAAAACAGGCGGCCGACCCACAGCTGCGGACAATTGACAAACCGGCCGCGCATGACGAGGAATCGAGGCCGATGCACGCCACGAAGGGCACGAAACGCACTGGGGCACGCGCGGTGGAGCGCGTAGACCCAAGAAGCTGGCGGTGGCAGCAGCCGACGCCATTCTTGCGCTCCGCTGCTGTCCTTCTTCCTTCGCTCGAGGCCGGGCTGTCAATTCAACGCGAGCACAGCTTCCATTGACAGACAGAGAGAGAGCTTCGCTGCGCTGAGCGCTTGATTCCGCAGAATCTTATCCACTCGGTGCTCGTGGGCTTCTTCGATGTCCGTGAGCACCACGAGTACTACGAGAGAGACGATTACGACGTAAACCCTAAACCCTGCCAACCGCAGCGTAGAACGCAGTTGCGAACTGCGTTTCCTTCTGCAGATGATTGACCAATTTCTCGTGGATTTCTCGAAGAGACAACGCACTGAAATGGCAGCTTTGGATTTTCCGACGGGCCTCGTGAACTGCGGCCGCCGGTTCACCGACTGCGAGACGAAAGTCCTCCCGAGCATTGATTCCGGGTTTTGGCTCTTTAGTGTAGTGGGGATGATGGACGCGGACAAATGAAGCGGTTGGACAAATGAAGCATGTTCACCCTTTTATTTTATATTTGCATAATCTTCCGCCGGATTATAATGCTGAGAATTTACTCTCTTCCGGCCGTTTGGATTTTATTTTTTTCCTTTTGTGTTTTCTTTTATTTTAATGGTGTAACATTATTTATCTCGAATTAACAAAAAAATTTCTAAAGACATGAAAGTGTCTGAGATCGCATATGAAGTCGTTGTTGACATTGATAATCATATTTGTCATCCGAATCTCATCATAAAATCCATGCTACTTTTCCATTCACAAGTATTTATTGATTTTTTGTGAAGGAATTAGGATTATTGTTTATTAATGAATACCACATGGATATGAAAACCTAGGAAAAAATCCATCAAACCCAACAAGAGCAAATAAAATACAAGAACAAGAGCTAGTCTCCGAGAGAAACTGTGATGAGATATATAACTACCAAATTTAGTGTATTTCAATCATCAAAATCAAGCAATCTACAAACAACAAGAATATCGAGTGTGATAACATCCAACATAACATGTATTTATATCTTATGTAAATCTTGTCATTGTAAAGCAATAGAATCATGATCTGCACATTTGGCTAGAGAAAGTCATACAATATGCTCTTGTGCATTTCCCAGTAAAATGTCAAAATTGGCACAATCATTCTATATGATTCCAAAGCTAAAGAGGTGGAGCTGATCATTTTACATAATCCTCTACTTGGAGACTTTGATTGTTGTCACTACATTCATCACTCATGCAAGAAGAGTAGTCATGCTCTCAAAAACTTGTTCGCATGTGAGATTTATAACTAACACATGTAATTATCATATGATACTCTTGAATCAGGTAAAATAACATGCTCATAGTATTTTATTGCTAATTATATCAGACTTCAATTCATGCAAAATTATAACTTCATGAGCCAGCAAAAATATCACTTGGCTCTCATGATAACTATGCTATGTGATCCCAATGAATCATCAAATCAACTAAATCTGTATTCATGTGTGAGTAATGAAAGTAAAATGATGCATCAAGTCTAGCCAAAACATCACCTCTTCTTAAAGGGGTGAAGAATAAGAATAACTAATACAATTCAAATACTTTAATGCATGGTAGAGTCAAAAGATTCAAAATATTTCATTCTTGTGAAAAGAAGACACAATCAAACTTTGGTGTTATGATAAATGTTCAAATTCAATACAAATTGTGTACAAATTCAATATTAGTAATGTAAAGACTATTCATGTAATTAGGCCATCCTTTTAACTTTCAAATTTCATGTTGAAAAATGAAAAATGAAGATGAAAGCTCAAGGTGCAACATATGAATTAAAATGTGTCTTGATTAATCTTAAAATAGATATAAAATATAAGTTTCCATTCAAATCTCTCATAATCATCATAAACTAAATGTTTTTGCACTCATAGAAGAAAAAGATTTTGAAAATAATAAAAATATTTAACTTGTCAACAATAGTAAGATTATATAGGAAAATTATTTAAAAACATAAAAATTTTCATATTTATTTTATTTATAATAAACATATTTCTCTCACACACCTTATAAATATTTTTAAATCTGTTGTGAATTTGATCTTGTTTTGCTCTAAAATCCTTCAAATTTGTGTGAGTTACAAGTAAAAATTAGTTCTATGTTGATGTAAAAAAAAAGATAATATTTTGATAATATTTATTTCTCATATTTAATAAATTTAATTTAATTTTATATAGATATATTGATTTTTTAAAATTTATCCTGTATTATTTATAAATTATATATATTTGAATTTTGAATTAACAAGTTTCAATCATATTAAATGTTTATTATTTTAAGTGTGTGTGTGTGTGTATGTATGTGTATATATATATATATGTATATATATATACATACATACATACATATGGAAAATTTAATTATCACTTATTCAAACCATAAACTTTGATTATTTATTATCATGCATGTTACAATTGTCACCATACATATCATCATTATGCAATTGCTTCTACAATCTTTTGCATCAACTATAGATTTAGCTTTTGGAACAATGAATGATCACTTTTTAAAAATTTTTATTTGCATTATTTTGTTTGATTACAATCAAGTTTTTAACTACAAATTATACATTTAATATATATCAAGATATGTGATTAGAATATGATATAAGGTAAATTTTATCAACATACTTTTGAATGTTTTGCTCGCTTTAAAAATTAATTTATTTTGCTCAATATATATATATATATATATATATGAAGACTGGTTTTCTGTTAGTGTGGTAACCCACTTTTTGCTTTTTTGCGGAAATTAAAACAATTTTGGAAAACCGTACCGCAGCAACCGTGTAAATGGTGATTGGTACATTTAAATAGAATGAAAATGGATAATCGCGGATCTCGCAGGAACTCGTAGAATCCAGAAGTTGGGCGCAATGTCCGGAACAGGCGCCCGACCTGAACGATCGATTCTGAAGGAGTTCTCCTTCGGCGCAAGGCGCATAATCCGCCTTCGGCGATACGCCTTCGGCGCTAGGGGAATCCCTCAGAGCTTATACAATTCACAACGCCTTGACTTGGTTAGGATCTTGTTGGAAAGAGCTCGACGCGCTCGTTCTAACGAGCCCAAGAACGCCTGGAACAGATGAGGACTCCGGGAGTTGTGATGGTCGGAAGATGCGAAGACGAGCGCCTACGCATAGGCGGAAGGAGTTCGTCGTCGGCGGAAAGTCCGCCAAGAATTTCGCCTACGCACAGGCGGAAGAAAGTTCGCCTACGCATAGGCGGAAGGAATTCACCTACGCGTAGGCACTTCGCCATCGGCGGAATATCCGCCTTCGGCCCTAGGAGTTCGCCTTCGGAGGTGGAGCTCGTACGGCGCCAGCGCATCAAGATTAGGTACGTACCAACGGAGTAGCGAATCCGTACGGACGGGTGCGCCCTCGGAGGGGATAGGGACTCCGGAGGCGAGAGCGCCTGCGGAGAGCTGTAAGACCAGATATTGCATGTGTGAAATAAAACTAGAATTAGCTAAGGAATTAATCATGGTTAGGATAGTTATGACTAAATCTAGCTAGTTATCACTAAGTCTAGCTAGTTTAGCTATAATGTCTATACTTGGCGGAATAACTAGAGAAGTTCTAGAAGATTTGAGTGAGCACTTCTATTTTGTCTTGTACAAAAGTCTAGATTCCAAGAGAAAATACTTTTGAACTTCATGTTTAGTTTTGATTGGTTTGACTAAAGTAAGGAGTATTGCATTGGTTAGACTAAGTCTTATGTTGACTTAGTGGAAAGTGGAAGTTCTAGAAGTTGAAAAGGCACAAATGGCATGTCGCCACCTTAATCTAGGGATTAGTAAACATCTAGAAGGTTTAGGGGGCCAATGGCATGTTGCCACATATTGATAACTAGTCAACCTTAATATGGTTTATCCTCGTAAAAGTAAGTTAGATAGAAATTACCATTTGTTACTATGGTAAATTCTCAAGTAGTATATATAGAGAGGTAGGGAAGAGCCTCTCAAGCAAGTTTGGAGAGTTCATATGTAGAGACTTGTTTCATATATGAAAGAGTGACGAATTTTCAGTACCTTGGAGTGTCGATGAGTGTATGAGTTGGGGTGATACCTTGAGAGATTGTGTGAGAGGGTGTTTAGGTTATGAGTATGATGCGGAATCCTAGTCTTCTAGAATCATGATGAGCTACCGAAAAGCCATCTGAGGTAAACCTGAGTGAAAGTCAGCCCGGAGGTTGCAGAGCCAAGAGAGATTGACAGACGGTACGGAATCCGTTGACCGCGGTCAACGCCTTCGGCATAGCCGTCTACGGCAATGCACCTACGCCGACGGACAACGTAAGGGATCTACGCCAACAGACATCTTTGGCGTTGACGGTCAGCGCCTACGCACAGGCGGATGGAGTTCGTCGCCGGCGGGAAGTCTGCCGGGAATTCCGCCTACGGCAGAGGGAGTTCGCCCTCGGCGGAGCGGGATTGATGCGAGTCGAAGTACGAATGCGAGTAGCACGTCGGCAAGAAATGCGCCTTCGGCGTTGCGCGACCATGGCCCTGGCGTAGTATGCTGGCGGAGTTCAAATTGACATTTCGAGCGTGCGAGTGAGAGCGCGACGGCGGAGCGTGAAGCCGAGCGTGCGAGAGGAGGGCCGTTACACCTCCGAGCCGGCGCAGCCATCAAGTGAGTCGACATTCACGACCGAGAGCTGACCATGACATCCTGCGAGCGGAGAGCGGACACTCCATTCTTGAATTTGCGATTTCAATTTCTTGTGCGAGCTGCGAGCGTACACCTTCTAGCCGAGAGACATTCCAGACACCACCGCGCAGAGACTCACCCGGTGGAAGAGAGAGAATTGAGTGCGCGACCGCGGGAATTGAGAGAGATTAGAATTTGCAGAAGAATCAGTGCCGCGGGCAAGAGGCTTGGGCGTAGCGGAGGAGAGGTTGCGAAATCCGATTTCAAGAACGCGATGTTGAAGTCCACTCAGCTGCGGATGGTTCCACTCAAGCTTCCGCAGATTGGATTGCGTGCTTTTCAGGACCGGCTGATTGCAGTGAAACTCGATTTCCTGCTGTGGGAATGGAATTACGTGTGCCCGGACATGGTGTGCGAATGGCAGAGGGAGAGACCCCAACCTATGCGCGGATTTCGTCCGCACGTAGATCGTTGGACTGTCCACGATTGGGGACAAGTGATGGGGAGATGTGCAATCGAGGACGAGTTCCTCCTATTTGAAAGTGAGAGCGTCAAGGTGTCGAAGGCGGAAGAAGCCTCATTCGTGGAATTGT